TAGATATTCTAATCTTACATGTCTCCAAATCCTATTTTTGGTAGAATTATCTTAGAAAAAATTTTTGTGTAGTTGAAATACGGAATTATCTTAGAATAAATTTTTGTGTAGTTGAAATACGGTGCTAGGGCAGATATTCTATTCTTACATGTCTCCAAATCCTATTTTTGGTAGAATTATCTTAGAATAATTTTTTGTGTAGTTGAATTTTTTTAAAAGTGATTATCAATATTATTTTATCCTCAATTTAGTACTATTGTATTTTTAATTTTTGTAGAATTAAATTTCAATCATTCAAAATATCACTTTAGAAGTTCTGGATTTGTATATATAATTATACAAATCATCCTTAAGTATCAAACTTATTTTATTTTGGTTCTTAATTTTTAATTTGTATCAATTATATTCCTAAATTTTGCACGTTACTTCAATGTAGCCCCTTATCCTAATTGTTTTGTAAAAAATATACACACAAAAAAAAAATGTTAACCTCAGTCTCAAATCAAGTGGAGAAAATATCATTTCGCCTCATAAATTATCATTTAAAAATTTATTCAACTTCTACTATTTTAAGAATGTCAATTTTATTTGATTTTTGATCAATTTTATCTCGCCATTACCTGCCATTTATAATTAAAAGGAAGTTGTTGACGTGGCACTAAAATTTCATTTTATCCCGCAAATTATATCTAAAATATCAATTAGACCCTTAATCTTCATTTAGGGTTTAGGGTTTAAGATCTAATTGATATTTTGGGAATAGTTTAGGAAGGTCAAATGAAATTTGGTTGCCAAATCAACAATTTCTGTTTAATCATAGACGACAATTGATAAAAGGATAAAATATAAGGAATTTTTTGTAAGTGGGCCTATATGGATCAAATACTTACATATTGTATATTGTTAAATAAAGTATGAATGGTGTTGGTTAGACCCATTAAATTGTGATACATATAGAAATATGGCTGGGTCATGGACACATCTCTAATATCACATACTTTAGTCATGCTATGTGCACTAAAGAAGTATGGGTTGAGCCATATGTGTATGGGATTGAGACTTCATAAATATGTGGTTGAGGTTCTCACTTCAACCCTAACCTCTATCTCATATTTTTTCCAACGGTGTATGAGAGATAATGAGAGTAGAGTTCTAGAGCAGAAAACAATAACCACCAAGAAGTTCACTATTTGAATTACCACCATCAATGGCGTTAGATAAGTAACTATTATTATTTTATTCTATTAATTTGACTTAAGATCTTGGGATTTAGATTTCTATTAAAATCTCACATAAAATGGATAAAATTAATATTATCAAAAGAATTAAGGGTTGGATTAATTTTTTAATATATTTTGGCCTCGTTTGAAAAATTACCTATTTTAGTAAGTTTTTTTAATTTTTGACTATTTTAATAGCTTAAAATTTTCTTATTTGGAAAGAATGTTGAATTTTTTATAGTTAAATGTGATATTTATGAGAGAAGAAATAAAATAATTATGAATTTAATGTAATTTTTTTATTAATTATTTTAATTTATTTTACTTTTTTATAAATTTTAGTCACAAGAATCCAAATTTAGCTTCCCAAGCACCACCTTTGAAAGACAAATTGATATTTAAAGCAAAGAAAACAGCTTAGAGAAAGAAAAAGCACCTACCTTCACAGGGCTTGCAGGCAAGTAAATAGCACGTGGAATTCTTCCTTGAGATAACTAGGAAGAGAAGATTATAATCCCATCAAAAAATTTATTTTAATAATTTAAATTATTTATTATGTATGACTTATTACATATATTATTTACACGTAAAATTAAGTCAATTTAATAAACATAGTATATTTAATTTATTATGTTTATCTTTAAAAAAATAGACTATAGGTATATTTTTTTAAATAGACCAACTATATTTTTTATGAGAAGCATAATAAATTCAATATATTATAATTATTAGATGGACTTATTTTTTATTTATGAATGATATACACAAAAGATCATACAAAATATATAGAAACAAAACTCGTGATTACATCAAATAGAGCGAACAACAAAGACAATTCAGACCTATCAAAATGAGCTAGTTGCTATTATTTAGGGACTATTTGTACAATTTACCTTTTTAAGCTATATCTTTAAAGTTTTCTTAAAATACGAATTGTCTCTTATAATTTTAAAAATTATAAATTTTCCATTGTCAGTAATTTTTTGTTTAACATAATTAACAGAAAAAATAAAATTTCTAACTACTCTCCTATTTAACAATAAAATTATCAAAATTATTAATTGTAATATATTTTTGATATTATTAAAAATTATTAATTGATTTGATAATTTATTAATAAAATAAATTATTTATAATGTAATTAAAAATTCGAAAGAATGGACTGTAGTTTTTAAAGTTATAAAAGAATATCTTAAGCAAACAAAAATTATTTGTAAGTAATTTGCATATAATAAATAAGAGTATAAAATTTTACAGTTGTGGTGCCGACACTTGTCAGCACGCGGTGGTGCCTTTTATGTGCATTGGGCTTAGTTTTTATTTTCCGACAATTTGGGGGGTTTTTTGAGAGATTTGGGAATTAGAATTGTTCACTCCGAGGCCGAGCCCGACTGGGGAAGGTTTGTTGTGGTGTGTAGGGGACCACTTGGCGTGCGATGCTCCCTCAATATATTAATCAATTTTGCTACGAATATAAAAAGAAATACAAAATATACATAAATAGATATAATTTTATAGAATTTGTGGGCGGACTTAGTTTTTTAAAAATCATATCCCTTCATATATATTTTTGTGTTTAAATCTGTAATTGATTTCTATGTTTCTAAATTTATTTATTTATTATTTGTTTTTAGTTGTAGATTTTATTGGAGTAACACTACAAGAAATGTCACTTTTGGCTACCAAAATATTGGTCGCCAAAAATCCAAAATTTGGTCGCCGAAACCATTTAGCGACCAAAATTTTTTGTCGCTAAGCTCGTCGCCTTTACCCTGTCGGCGATAGTATTGGCGACTAAAATTTGTTTGGTCGCCGAAAGTGTACACATTTGGCTACTAATCTTAGTTTAGTCGGCAAAAGGTATGTTTCCGCCACTAAAGTATTAGTCGCCGAATGTGACTTTTGGCTACTAACATTCGTTTGGTCGGCGAATGTGTTACTTTTTGCTACGAAAGAATTAGTCACCGAAAGTTAACATTTGGCTACGAATCCATACTTAGTCGGCAATAGTGACATTTCGGCTACTAATTTTTTAGTCACTAAAAGTTCTACATGAAAATTTTAACCAACTATTCATTACTTTTTGCTACCAAATGTTTTAGTCGCCAAATGTTTTGCTACTAAATTATTAGTAGCCAAATAATTCCAACTATGTATTTGGCTACCAAAATATTTGGTGGCCAAATATTTTCTGTTTTTTTTTTTTTTTTTTCCAAAAAAATTCTAAACAACCTACATCCATGTTTAATACAACCTGTACGTACATAACACAGGATTCAATATAACCCAATATAACCCATCAACGCTAAATAAAGAAATTACTTTGAATTTATATAGAATTTTCTGACAATTTTTTGAGTAATTTACTCATAATTTACTGAGTCTGATAAAGTGAAGCTAGTTCCACTAAATTAGTCTGATAAAGTGAAGCTAGTTCCACTAAATTAGTCTGATAAAGTGAAGCTAGTTCCACTAAATTAGTCTGATAAAGTGAAGCTAGTTCCACTAAATTAGTCTGATAAAGTGAAGCTAGTTCCACTAAATTAGTCTGATAAAGTGAAGCTAGTTCCACTAAATTAGTCTGATAAAGTGAAGCTAGTTCCACTAAATTAGTCTGATAAAGTGAAGCTAGTTCCACTAAATTAGTCTGATAAAGTGAAGCTAGTTCCACTAAATTAGTCTGATAAAGTGAAGCTAGTTCCACTAAATTAGTCTGATAAAGTGAAGCTAGTTCCACTAAATTAGTCTGATAAAGTGAAGCTAGTTCCACTAAATTAGTCTGATAAAGTCAACTTACCCCAGTTTGAGGGGTTTAATGAATGAAGAGCATTACAACAACAACAACCCACAAAAATCATAAATAAAAATGGAGAAACAAGCGACATTTGCACTCTCATAATATTCAAGCTGGTAATGATGAACATAGTAAAGGCCAGAAATATTCTATTTAGAAGGCAAACAATTTAGCATTTGCAGTTTGCTTCCTAAGGTAAGACAGAATCACATTAAAAGCATTGAACAAGCTTCAAGAAATTTTGTAATTGAAACCAAGTGTATTTGGATTTACGTCACATTGGGACTGATAATGATGTAAATGATAGCTAACTCTCATGCTTGTAGTTTTGTCTCCTTTTTGACTTCACTGGCAATATGGACACCAACCCAACCTCACCTCTTGTTTTTTATAGTTAAAAATGATAATATATATATATATTTATTTATTTATTGATTTATTTATGACAAAGTGAACTCAAAGAAAATGAGCAGTGAGGAAATGAAGTCCTGTATAGGAGTAGTTTTGTCTAGGACATGCTTCTTTATTCTTCTAATAAGGAAATGAGCAGTACCTTCAAAGAAAAACATAGAACAAGGTTTTTCAAAAATAAAGAAGCTCGGCACAGATAAGTGAGTAGACAATGGAGCATGAAGCGTGAAGACGATTCACTATTATATTATCAGCAACTGTGAAGACGATTCACTAATGCCATGTTCATCTGGTTTCAAAGACAATGGAGCATGAAGCGTCAGTTTTGGCAATACCTTTCAACTTAACAAGCTCATATCAATGGCTATAGAAGAGAAGCAAAGAAATTCAGTTATATACATATATATATATATATATATTTTCACACATATATATGACACAGTTATACATACCCAAATTACTGCTATACAGGACTTCAAATATAGTAGAACTAGCGTAGTTAGAAATTTCATTCAATGGGATCATTAAAAAAGTTGAGTAGAGAATTTTATGACATAATTTTAATTCTACGCATACCTCAAGTAATGGGGAACACCATATTGGTGAAACAGTTGGAGGAGTTGCTATTGCCTTTTCCAACATTTCTGATAAAAATTCACTAATGTTTCATTACATTCATGAATTAAATGCATGCAATTCAACAGAATTAACAGTACCAAATGAAGCTAGCTTACCCAAACAACAAAATTAACGAGTTTTAGAACATGTTCACCAATACCTATTACATCCACTACCACTTCCAGAAAGAAGGGTGATTCTGGAATCAAACAACAGTCCACATCTCGGCTGGCAAGTGTAGCATACATTGCAATGAAGCCTGCACCAGTAAATCTGAGAAAAATGAAGGAAAGTCTGGATATTACATTTTATCTTTCAAGGAACCTTTAGTCCTGTAATTTTTTTATTTTATAAAAAAAAAAATTAATATTAGGAACATAAATACCAAATACAGAATGTGACACAAATATCTCACATGAGGTGGGTCTCACATTATATGGGACCCTCTTCATGTAAGACCCTCCCCATGTAAGACATATGTATCACATTCTACATTTGATATTTGTGTTTCTATACTTATTGATGAATTTATTAGAACTCTATTTATTTTTTAAACTATTTTTATTGATGTTAAAATAGCTTACAATACACAATTCAAAAAAATGATAGTTGATTCATATCCCGATTTAACAACTATGATTGCAGAAATTCAGAGGAGTGATGTTGCCACCGTTATGCAATTATGCACCTTCAAATCCAAATCTCCTCTTAATCAAAGATGTGTTTGATAATAAAATTTTTGAGATTGTTTCATTGCTTTATAACAAAAAAACGATAAGACACATATATAACACACAGATACATACATACATACCTCTGTGAGATAAGAAACCACACTTGAAATGAAATGATTCATTTTGGAATGCTTTGTTTGCGATTTCAGCTTTTGATATTAGCGATTTCTACATTGAATACTGAAAAAATAAAAATAAAAATGGAAGACGAAGGAGAATAAGAAGAAGAGGTTCGGTATGAGTTGTTAAAAAAACACTCAATGTTTCTGTTTGAATGGATTTTGAGCAGTTTTGAGGGAGCACAAAAGGTTGCAATTCATCACTACACTAAAAGCTTCAGAGGCTTCTCAGCTATACTTACCCCAGAGCAAGCTCACAAACTTTCAGGTTTGCCTTGCTCTTGTCCGTTTTGTTGATTAAGGGTTATGTTTGGAACATGTATTTAGGTAGAGATTTGGAATAAAAAACGATAGCTATGTAATTTAGCCATGCAGTTATGACCATTGAAACATATGGGAGTCAACCTTACCATTGTAGCCGCCCATTAGCTTCACTACACCAACACCATTCTCAACACTTTCAGCTTCAACATGCGCAGCATTGATGGCTCGCTGAGCTTCCTCAACAGCAGTATCAAAGCCAAATGACCTGTCAATGACCTGAATGAAAACAAAAACAGATGCAAATATTGTTATAAAAGATTATACAACTCTTTAGAAAACAATCAAAATTCAATTTAATTTAGAAACAATAGCAATATATAAGCCAAAGGGCTTTTGTAGTTTTCTTTTATTTGACCAAATGAAAGAGCTCCAACATGAAAGCATTTGAGTGTCAATTCATGGTTTTCACAAATGATGGGGAATGAATTTCATTCAGCAACAATTCACATATTCACACATATTTAGCATAAAATTAAGTCTTGTTTTTGATGAAAAAAATGGGAAAATTGCACTTCAGCGCATGTTCTAAAAAAAATACAAATCGGTGGTAACTTTATCAACTTCAATAATTAAAGTTATAAACTTTTTGATGAATTTGTAAATATTTTGTGAAGACACCACTTATTTTCAATTTTCCCAACAAATAATCTTCCATCTCTGGAAATAAAAGCACCTAATGAGCTGCTTAGGATTGTTTTTAAATCCAATAACAAATGCTTAGAAAAACCATGTACGACTTACAATTCCAGCCTGCTTGGGGCCTTCTCATGTTAAATTTTTATTTTTATTTTTTTTTAAATGATAATTTAACGCATGAAAGAAGTTGTTAAGTTTTTGACTCGTTTCACCTTTGCCTATTCTGGGATCAATGTTTACAAACATAAAGCATTAAGTGAATTAGACAAAAGGATTGGGTCAAGGGTAACCGCTCAACAAGGACCATAGGATTTGAACCACAAAGATTAGCCGTTTATTATTTATTTTGCTAGAAACAACAAGCACCACAACAAAAATAAACTCTCCTAAAATCATCAGCCATTAATTTCCTTATTGCCCCAATGAACTAGACAACCAAGTATAGAACTCTGTACAGCAGCTATTACTATTAATAATGCACAATAATCACCATTTTTTTTTATAAGCAATAAATAACAACTACCCTTATACCAAGATCAATGTTCAACAATATGACATACCAACATGAATTAATTTGACACACTGTCACAAATAACAATTAATCTCAATCAAATTCACAAAAACCCAGAGCTAAAAATTCATACTCTGCACATTCAAATTATCAATATTAGAGACCAAGAAATAGAGAAGGGAGAAAAGGCCACAAGAAAAAAATAAACAAATAAAAAGCGCCATACAAATTTTGACAAAGACGAATATTAGTTTTACATTTCTGAAATCCAAAACATAAGATTCAGAGTTTCCTTTCCTGTTGTTTAGGCTCTCTCTCAACAACCAAAAAAAACATAGAATTTAGGCAATGATTGAACAAAAGGTGCAAGTAGAAAACGAATCGTTTTAACACAAAGCTGAGTGGCATTGAGGCATCAAGGTCAGTTTAGGGGCAGAGTTGTTCCCAAAAATTTCGTTCTGTACAGATCTAAAAACAGTCTTGTTCTAAAGGTGCAGCTGCCTTGGAATGTTGTAATTCCTGCAAACAGGTGGGACTGTTAGCATAAAATTAAGCTCGGCCCAAGTTTGTTTTTACTGTGGAGTACCTAAACACATGGATAAATGCCTTTAACATGTGTTAAGGGCTCTATGGTTGGAATCATTTATAGAAATTTCAGCCACTTGGCTAAAGAAATATACCAGGGGAGCACAAAAGGTTGCAATTCATCACTACACTAAAAGCTTCAGAGGCTTCTCAGCTATACTTACCCCAGAGCAAGCTCACAAACTTTCAGGTTTGCCTTGCTCTTGTCCGTTTTGTTGTTTAAGGGTTATGTTTGGAACATGTATTTAGGTAGAGATTTGGAATAAAAAACGATAGCTATGTAATTTAGCCATGCAGTTATGACCATTGAAACATATGGGAGTCAACCTTACCATTGTAGCCGCCCATTAGCTTCACTACACCAACACCATTCTCAACACTTTCAGCTTCAACATGCGCAGCATTGATGGCTCGCTGAGCTTCCTCAACAGCAGTATCAAAGCCAAATGACCTGTCAATGACCTGAATGAAAACAAAAACAGATGCAAATATTGTTATAAAAGATTATACAACTCTTTAGAAAACAATCAAAATTCAATTTAATTTAGAAACAATAGCAATATATAAGCCAAAGGGCTTTTGTAGTTTTCTTTTATTTGACCAAATGAAAGAGCTCCAACATGAAAGCATTTGAGTGTCAATTCATGGTTTTCACAAATGATGGGGAATGAATTTCATTCAGCAACAATTCACATATTCACACATATTTAGCATAAAATTAAGTCTTGTTTTTTATGAAAAAAATGAGAAAATTGCACTTCAGCGCATGTTCTAAAAAAAATACAAATCGGTGGTAACTTTATCAACTTCAATAATTAAAGTTATAAACTTTTTGATGAATTTGTAAATATTTTGTGAAGACACCACTTATTTGCAATTTTCCCAAAAAATAATCTTCCAACTCTGGAAATAAAAGCACCTAATGAGCTGCTTAGGATTGTTTTTAAATCCAATAACAAATGCTTAGAAAAACCATGTACGACTTACAATTCCAGCCTGCTTGGGGCCCTCTCATGTTAAATTTTTATTTTTATTTTTTTTAAATGATAATTTAACGCATGAAAGAAGTTGTTAAGTTTTTGACTCGTTTCACCTTTGCCTATTCTGGGATCAATGTTTACAAACATAAAGCATTAAGTGAATTAGACAAAAGGATTGGGTCAAGGGTAACCGCTCAACAAGGACCATAGGATTTGAACCACAAAGATTAGCCGTTTATTATTTATTTTGCTAGAAACAACAAGCACCACAACAAAAATAAACTCTCCTAAAATCATCAGCCATTAATTTCCTTATTGCCCCAATGAACTAGACAACCATAGCCATCCGAGAATGGGAGATGTTGGGGGCGCTTGGGGAGTTTGACTTACTTCTGGGCGAATCCGTTGAGGCTGCGGCCTTATTTTCTAT